GGGAGAGTCCGAGGAGGAAAAGGTGCCCATACCCATACTGCTACCCTTCCCGACTCGCCACGACTGGATCCGCTCCGAGATCTTGGTCAGACCGCTCCCTGGGAGAGGTCAACTGGGATGGGGGGGGCTAAGGGGATAGGGGGGTCATCAGTGGATGCCAGGGTGGGTTGTATTTGGCCTCACCTAGCTCATCAGCGGGTTACACATACCCCAAGTGGCATGGGGGGGATAGCGATCCAGGCTAAGTGGGTTCCGCCCACTTAGCAGAGTTGTCTGGTCCCCCTAAGCCAGTTGGGGCATGTGTAACCCACTTATAAAAGCTAGGTTAGGCCAGGTATAACCCCTTAGACATCCACTGATAGCCCCCTATCCCTTTAGCAACTCCCCCGCCCATCCCAGTAGGGTGCAGCGGTGTCGGCATCTCTCGGGCCCTCCAGAATGGGGGGGGCGCTTGGCGAAAGTGTCCGGGCCTCGGGCACAGGCCGACTGTCAGGGCCTTGCCTCTTGTCACGACTCGCCCTGGGCGTAAGTCGGGCGTGTCCCTCTACACTCGGAGGTTGGGGGGTGAGATCGAAGTGGAACGGAGAGCCCCCCTACCGGGAAATCGATTTCGGTTTCTTGTTCGTGCGTGCCGTGCGGGCGAGGCGAAGCTGCGTGGGCCGGCGAGAGAAAGTCTCCTGTGGCTGAGGCGCGGCCGGGGCAAAAGAACCTTGACCGGGCGGCCGGTGCCCCGCGGTGTCCCGCCGGTGTCCCGCTGGTGTCCCGTGTGGCTGAGGCGTGGCCGGGGCAAAAGAACCTTGACCGGGCGGCCGGTGCCGCGCGGTGTCCCGCCGGTGTCCCGCTGGTGTCCCTTCGGTGTCCCGTCGGTGTCCCCATGATGACGTGGATGATTATGATGATGATGGTGATGATGATGATGATGATGATGTTGATGATGTTGATGATGGCGATGATGATGATGATGATGATGATGATGATGATGATGTTGATGATGACGATGATGATGATGATGATGATGATGTTGGTGTCGTTGATGATGATGATGATGATGATGATGATGATGATGATGATGATCATGATGATGATGATGGTGATGATGATGATGTCGTCGATTTTGAGATCGATTGTGATATCGATAGTGAGACCAAATGTGAGATCGATTGTGCGATGCTGATGGTGATGATGGCCATGATGGTGATGATGATTGTGATGATGATGACGGCGTTGATGATGATGATGATGATGATGATGATGATGATGCTGATGATGATGATGATGATGATGATGATGATGATGATGATGATGATGATGAACAACATTCACCACTGTTGCCCATTGCTGGGCCCCCCCCCCAACCTCCTTATCACACGCAGGGTGGTCGTATAGGTAGGAATATTAAAGAATGTCACACAAAAATAGATCTGGGGACGATGTTTTGACTATGTTTGACCATTTGGAGGGCATGTTTTCTCTACTTTCTATTTGTCGTCCAAAACCCCCCTGTAGGGGGACATGCCCGGCCTAACCCTGGGCCCCAGGAGGCGCGAGGCCAAGAGGCTGGAGGCCAGGAGGGGGGACGGGCAGCAGGCGGGCGGGCGCCGGTGCTGCTGCGTGTCCTGCGGTCTGGGCTCCCTGTCCCGAGAGCCCCTGGGCGAAGCCGAGCCTTGACCCGTGGCCCCGGAGGGCCGCTGGGCCGAAGCCAGGCTCGCGGTCGGCCAGGAGCGCCTGCCAGAGGCGAGGGAGCAGCCCCGTCCGTTGGTAGGCACTCGCCGGGCTCTCGCTTGGTAGGCGCTCGTGGGCGCCCCGTCCGCTGGGCGGGCCCGCCGGGGGTTCGGCCGGTGGGCACCCGTGGGCGCGCTGGCTCGCCGATCGGGATGCACGCACACACACAGAGTCTGCACCACATGGGCTGCACTTCGTCGCATGCGCCACACACAGCCTGCAGCATGTACGTGCGTGTTGCCATATTGCACGGCATCGGTTGCACCGCAGATGTTGCATCCGATCGGCTGCTGCAAATGCTGGTCTCTACATGCATCCATACATACTGATACACATTATTGCACACACACACTGGTACTGGTTCCCATCCGTGGCCCCGCATAGAGCTTACCACAGGTATTGTGCCCCATGTGTTGCACAACCTGGCACCACATAGCTGTCGCTGCATAGACTGTACCAACCCGATTGGATCCCAGTAGTGCCACCACGTAGATTGCACTATACAGCTTGCGCCCTATTAACTGAGAGACGCCTATCCCACTACGGCGATGATTGCACCACGTGGCTGCACTTGGGAAATTGCACCACTTACAGCCTGCTCACATCAAGAGTGCAAACACTCGCTGTTTGGGGTCCACGCTGGCAATCATACACTGAGTCACGCGCGTTCTAAAATTGGAGATTAGGGATGCGACAGTTTGCGTGGAACCACCCCCGTAACTGCCAGGCATGTGGTTTTTTAGTGCGAACAAAGTGTGGATTTAGTGCTGGCTGGTTGCGAGTTAAATGAGGATCAGTTGCAAGGCAATTATGAAGCGCTCGCATGTTGCTTGGATTGATGTATGGACTGAGCGATAAGAGAGTATTGTTTGCAGCAGCTCCGCCCAGCACGCCAGAGCTGCCCGCTCATGCGAACTTGAATTCTCGTATTTGCAGCTTCGCCTAAGGTGGCAGATGTGACACATTATTTGCAGTGTTGTATGTGTGTGATCCTCATCTTTACCTCTCCTCCCTCTTAGCATTGGGAATACGACGGACCTTGAAAATGTCATTGCCATGTTATCGCCACACACTTGGTTTAGAACCTTCGGATGCTTTGCAATGGATTTGCTCAGGTCGTGGTTCTACGGGCGGGAATCGCAGGTTATTCTTGTCGTCGTTGTGGTTTTGTTTGAAGCGTGCGATGTGCGCACTGGTCTGGTGGAGCAGTGTCACTGCGCACGTGGTAGCAGGGCGACTAACCCCAAGAGGCAACTAAGACCCTCCCCCAGGGTCATCATGGCACCAAAATTAGTCCCCGCGGGGGAGGGCTTGCGGAATCATACACCTGCACATCAAAATTATCCTGGCGAAAGACCCGGCCATATGCAGTTGTGGGTGCCGCAATTGTGAATATCTTCTTCGGTGGAGCTCCGCATGGGGCCACGAAGCGCTGCACTGGGTGGGGGAGAACGCTGTACTTGGTGGGTGGTGTTCCAAACTGGGCCTCCAGGACGCATGCGGACGGTTCCATTGGGGGCTTCGGTGGAGCTCCCTATGGGGCCACGAGACGCTGTACCGGTGGGTGAGAATCCTCCGCCTCCTCCTCCTCCTCCTCCTCCTCCTCCTCCTCCTCCTCCTCCTCCTCTTCCTCCTCCTCCTCCTCCTCCTCCTCCTCCTCCTCCTCCTCCTCCTCCTCCTGTTCGCCATGAAACGCTGTATTGGGTGGGTGGAAATGCTAAATTCAGTTTCCGGGGCGCAGGCCGGCGGTCCCACTGGGGGCTTCGGTGGAGCACCCTATGGGGCCACGAAGCGCTGTTTCGGGTCGGTGAAAATCAGGAGAGAAAGAAACACACAGACACAATTAATCGTCGACTCCCAGGAAAATATGGGAAAATATGGGAAGTGGGGGGGAAGACAAAAACCCAGAACATATAGGAAAATATGGGGAATATTTTTATTTGTGTGTATTTATTTGTGTGTCCCAGTTTCCCTTCAGACAATGCCACAGTGGGTTTTCGGGACGCATGCGGACGGTGGCACTGGGGCCTTCGGTGGAGCTCATGGGGCCACGAAGCGCTGTCCTGGGTCGAGAAATGCCAAACTGGGTCTTTCGGGACGCTCGGGGACGGTCCCACTGGGGCATCGGTGGAGCTCCCTATGAGGCCACGCAACGCAGTACTGGGTGGGTGAGGATGCTAAATTGGGCTTCCAGTGCGCATGCGGACGGTCCCACTGGCGGCTTCGGTGGAGCTCCCAATGGGGCCACGAAGCGCTGTATTGGGTCCAGATTGGATGCTTCGGGACGCATGCGGACGGTCCCACTGGGGGCTTCGGTTGAGCTCCCCATGGGGCTACGAAACGCTGTACTGGGTGTGCGGGACGCATGCGGACGGTAGCACTGGGACCTTCGGTGGGCCTCCCCATGGGGCCACAAAACGCTGTACTGGGTGTTTCGGCACGCATGCAGGCGGTCCCACTGGGGCCTTCGGTGGAGCTCCCTTTGGGGCCACGAAACATTGTACTGGGTGGGTGAAATGCAGGGAGGACGGGGGGAGGACCACGAAACGCTGTACTGGGTGTGCGGGACGCAGGCGGACGGTAGCACTGGGACCTTCGGTGCGGCTCCCTATGGGGCCACGAAACGTTGTACTGGGTGAATGAAACGCAGGGAGGAGGGGGAGGAGGGAGGAGGGAGGAGGGGGAGGAGGAGAAGGAGGAGGAGAAGGAGGAGGAGAACGCGGGGTGCTGTCTCTTCAAAACGAGGACCCAACACCACAGGATGGTTGGGAAATACATGATCGTACATACGTGTGTATATACAGATGTATTTCTATTTATTCGTATTTATATATATATATATATATGCACACACACACGTGTATGTAGACCCTGGGGGACGAGGCCCCCTGGCCACGCCCAGGGACCTCCCCAGGACATGGGAGGACCTGGCCTCTGGGGACGCCCCCAGACGGCCCCCCCCCCCAAAAAAAACAGAACACCAGGGTTCCCAGAGGCCCCGAAACACTCCAAGAGAGCCGAGAAACACCGAAATCCCGCTCCCAGACGCCCACGATGGCTTCCGGATGGCCCAAGACACCTCCAACATGCCCCAAGAAGCTTCCAAGAGGCCTCTCAAGAGAGGGCCCCAAGAGGCACATGTCCGTGATTTTCCGGAAGTCCATTGCTTGATTTTAGCGTTTCTGTATTTTCAGCTTCCAGACGCCCCGACACGGTTCTAGACGCCGCACAGTATCGGCCCAGCACGGCTTCATGGGCCCCCAAGCGGGCGCCGAGACAGCCGCCTTTTTGAACCGCCTTGGGGCGCTCCTGAGAGCCTCTTGAACAGTCTTGGGGCGGTCTTTGGGGGCCTCTTGGGCCGTCTGGGAGCGTCGGAAGCCCGAAAATGCAAGCGTGCCGAGATCATTCAAAAACCTAAGGATAATCACAGATATTGGCCTCTTGTGCCCCTCTTGTGGGTGCTCTTGGAGCGCTCTTTGGGCCTCTTGAGAGCCTCTTGGGCTATCTTGGGACCATCTTGGGCGCCTTGGAGCACTCTCGGGCCGTCTCGGATGCCTGTTGTACCGTCTTGGGGGCATTTTAGGGAGGATCGTTGCCTCGAAAGCACGGACATTGCGTAATCTACAAAAGGGTTCTATGGCTTCGAGGACGCGAAGAACATGCAATTCACAATAGATCGTGACTTCGGGGACCCAGATACTGTGTAATGTACAAGAGAGTGCTGCCTCGGACATTCGAATATTGTATGATTAACCAGGAATGGTGGTGTCAGGAGCGCGAGCACAGCGTAATTTGCAAAGGTTTATGGTCTCGGGGACGTGAACGTTGTGCAATGGACAAAGGATTCTGGCCTCGGGGGCGCGAACAATATGACATGTACTAAGCATTGTGGTTTCGGGGAAGCGAGTCTCAGGTATTTTACGTGCCCCAGGACACCCCAGAAATTCTGAGAACCCCTCCAGGTGAAGGTAACCAGGGTCCCTTTCGGCCCACCCCCCTCGCGCGCACTTCAACAGTTCATAGTAGGAAGCAGACAGCGGCACTACAGCATGGGAGACTGGAAGCTGGAACTGGCGCACAGAGCATCAAGCACAATCCGTGAAGCCTTGGTGGCCCCACAAGGGGGAGGAGGAGGAGGAGGAGCAGGAGGAGGAGGAGGAGCAGCAGCAGGAGGAGGCGCAGGAAGCAGCAGGAGGAGGAGCAGGAGGAGGAGGAGGAGGAGGAGGAGGAGGAGGAGGAGGAGGAGGAGGAGGAGGAGGGGGAGCAGGAGCAGTTGCAGGAGGAGCAGCGGGAAGCAGCAGGAGGAGGAGCAGGAGGAGGAGGAGGAGGAGCAGCAGCAGCAGGAGGAGGAGCAGGAAGCAGCAGGAGGAGGAGCAGGAGGAGGAGCAGGAAGCAGCAGGAGGAGGAGGAGGAGGAGGGGGAGCAGGAGCAGGAGGGGGCCGGCGGCGTCCGCAGATGTACGGCATGCTGTTCGTGCTGGTGCCGGCCGCGTCCGGCAGGCTCGCGCCGGCCGCCCCTGCGCTCCTCGCCGCGCCCTGGCTGCCAGCCCGCCGCGCGAGTCGGGGATTCCTCGGATCTGCGCTGAAACCAACCTCCCTGGCGCGCGGAGCGCGCAAGGGGCGGCGCCGGAGGCGCCGCCAGGGGGGCTCCAGTGCGGATTCAAGAAATCCGCGCGGAGCGCCAAAAGCTTATGCTTGTGGCGTTTCTTTTCCGTCGGAGGACGTACCGCGCCCTGGCTGCCAGCCCGCCGCGCGAGTCGAGGCTTCCCTCAAGCAGTGGCGAAGCGTCCCGGCTCGCCTATAGCCCCACCAAACAAGATGTTGAAGAATCTTTTGTGGCTCCCACGAAATTGTCTTAGAACACTTATGGCTGGGACTGTCTTGTTTTAACACATCGGGCTTATGTTCTAAGAACATGTTTTGTTATGAGAACATTTGTGGGTTCTAAGAACATTCCGTGGTATGACTATAGGAATGCCGGGACGGTCGCTCCCTGCTCAATTCCCCTCCCAGCCTTCTGATGTTCCAGCCTACTTTAGCCTTGGTCACCAGCAAGAATTTCGAGCACCAGGAAAGCACCGAGACTGGAGGGCTTTCACGTGTCGGGCCCTCGGCGGCGCTACTCCTTCGACATTGTTTCGATACTTTTCTTGGGTGCTCGAAATTATTTCTGGGATGTGGCCCGTAAGTACGAAGGGAGCTACATAACCCCAGCCTTGCGTCGGCGTCACCCCAACATACTAATACTATACGAGCGTCGCCCCCGCCCCAGGAGCGACGCGCGCACCGAGAAATCTGATTGCATGTGCGTTGCGGCTGGCGCTTTCTGGCCACCCCGCTCGGGAGACGATACACTACAAGATGCGTATCCTATATGCTCAGGTCGGACGCGCGCGCCTCCAAGGAGGACATATAGTACTAGTATGTCTTTGTGCGTCCCGTTGGAGCCGTCTGGGGCTCTGAGGTGGCCCATCACCAGTTCCGGCCAGCATTGAGTCGTGTTTGTCCCTCTACAACAGGAATATACAAAAATAGCAAATGAATGTTTTAAAGAAGTATGGGGGCGATTTGTCTACTATTTTGGAATATTTTCTGCACGCTTTCAGATTACTGTTCATTCTTCATCCAGACTCCGCCTGTAGGGGGACAGGCCCGACCTAAGGCCAGCAGGAAGGGCGGGCAGGTTTTCCAGGGGCCCTGGGCTCGGGGCGTTTCTGTTTGTACTTGTGGGCGTCTCCGGGGCCGTTGTCGGACCCCCGCGGGGGCCGTCCGAAGTGGACCCCGGGGCGCAAAGGCTGCGCCACGGGGGCCCCGGCAGGGGTCCAGGGACCGAGTTGGAGCGGAGGTGGCTGCTTCAGCCCCCCCCTGGCCGATTTTCTGTGGACACGTGGGCCCCGGCAGGGGTCCAGGGACCGAGTTTGAGCGGAGGTGGCTGCCTCAGCCCCCCCCTGGCCGATTTTCTGGGGACCCAGGCAGTTCAGAACCCCCCAACCGCCCCCGTGGATTTTCCCCCAGCCGCCTGGTGAGCATTTGTTGATTCTCTTTTGTCGATCGGCGCGGACCCTCGCACCCCCCCCCCTCCCCTCCCCACTTGGAGTAGATCTTGGCTGTTTTTGGCGCCTGGTTCGAGCAGGTGGAGTCTCCCCCAAAGGACGCACGGCTCCAAACAGTCGCACCAAGCAGAGGTCCAGAGCCAGACCCTCCCCGCTCCCCCCCCCTTCCGCCCAGTGTCGAAACGCCGAATAAAAAACGCTCACTAAGCTCAATGTGTGAGGGCAAAGTTAGGGTTTATAGGTTCGAGGTTGTCGGGCAGTTCCGATGGTTTTCGGGGGTGTTCCAGCCGCTGCGCCCGCCAAGAGCGCGCTGGGAGTGCCCGGGCTGGTCCCGAGCGGCCGCCTGAGGACCGAGTTACAGCGAGCGGCTTGAATAAGGAGCACTTACTTTTCAAAAGGAGCTCGGTCGTTCCTTAGGCTTGCATGCGTTACTTGTCGTTCCGTATGCGTTACAGATTGGTTATTGTTCCTTATGCGTTTCTCCTTGGAAAAAGGGTTTCGTTCCTTTTGTATCGTTCCTTCGGTCAGGCAGATGACTGCATGACCCGCAAACCACCAGGGGATAGACTCAGGGAGGGACTTCTCGAAGCCCAAGCGGCCCTCAGGGGCTCCCGGAGTTTGCGAAGCTAGAGTTCCCCCTCGCTGAAGAGGGCTGCGCCACTGCGCTGACCACGAGATTCTCGGAGGCTCAGCTGCTCTGATGCGCAAAATTTAAAGCGTAACACGTGCCAAAACGTACGTGTTCAAAACGTACGTGCTCAAAACGTTCAAAACGTACGTGTTCAAAACACGTGCGCCGTGTTCAAAACGTCTGTGCTCAAGACGTACGTGTTCAGTCTACGTGTTGAGCTCCGTATCGACACGCCACGTGTTGCGCGCTGCGTGCCGGGGCAGCTGAGCTCGAACGCCACACAGGGCCTCGTCTGGCCGAGCGGCCGGGCGGGCGGCCTCGAGGCAGCAGCGCTGTGCGCCTCCAGTGGCACGGCATGGCCGTAGCGGACTGCGTCCCGAAGAATGCCTCGACCGAAAAAAATCAAGCAGTGGCGGAGCGTCCTGGCTCGCCTACAGCCCTACCAAACAATGTTCCAAGAACCTTTTGTGGTTCCCACGAAAGGTTCTCCGAACCTTTCTGGCGGAGTCTGTCTTGCTTTACCACGTCGGGCTTATGTTCTGAGAACATTGCTTTTGCTCTTAAAACATTTTTGGGGTTCGAAGAACATTTCGTGGTAGGCCTACAGGAATGCCGGGACGGTCGGTCCCTGCTCAATGAATGCCTCGACCGGAAAAAAAAGCCACAGCCCAGGGGGTGCTGCCTCGGGTGCGGAGAGCAGCCTTTTCCTGCACATCCTCTCCGGCACCGCCCCGATCCCAGGGCTTCGCCCTCCCCCGGCCGCGTGAGGCCCCGCCTTCTTGCGCCCCTGCTCTGCTGATGGAAGCTGTGCGCGTCCCGCTCAGCTTCCAGCGGAAGAGGTTCGCTCTCGCCCCGCAGATCAAAAAAAGAGAGCGCGGAGAGCAGCGCTCCCGCCGCGCGTCGGGGCGCCGCCGGCCGCCACGAAGACCCGAGGGCCCCGACGCCCACGCTGCCGGTGCGGCCCTCCAGCCGTGGCCTGTGCCACAGGAGCCACTTGGGGGGTGTGATAGGTAAGCCTTGCTTGTTGTCGGAGGTGGATAGACCTCCTACCCTGACACGTCGATTGGCGAATTGGCCGTTTTCGGTTCGCGAGAGGGCGTCGCGGCCGTCAGTTTTGCGGATCCAGGTCCGCGGGTCTCGGTCCCAAGCCGTTTTCATTCAGGGGAGGTTTATGAAAGGGAGGTTTGTCCACCGCCGATGTTGGGAGATCCGCGTGTGGTAATCTGACAGCTCCCGCTGGGATCGTAGACGCATCGCCGTGTGAGGACCGCTGCGCACGCCAAAGAGTAAGTGGCATGGAGAGGGGAGCGGAAGGAGGGGGTTGGAGCGAGGGAGTCAGGGTCAAGGGAGGAAAAACCACCCCGATCCGACAACTGGCGTATATTAAACGGCACTGGGCGTTTACTAAACAGCCCTGCCCTGTTTGATTCCTTCTTTGGGTGCGTTTACTAAACGGTTTCGCGCGTCGGGGTGGTTACTATCGGGGTGGATTTTCTGCCCTCTCAAAGAGGCACAAGTGGGCTTCCGCGCAGAGGCGGAGGCAGACGGCAACCTCTGCCCGCTTCGCGTCCCAGCTTCCTCGTCGTCCCGTCACCGACCGTCCCGCCTTCCTCTCCCCTCGCCCGGCACAGGGTGTTGCTACCGCTGGCTACCACTGGGGCATGCTACTGTCAGCCGATCGATACAGTTATAGACATATATATATGTAAATAAGTTAACAAAGATGAACAGATACAAATGAATAAATGAATAGATAAATGACTAACTCGTCCCGTCTTGCTTTTCTGGCCCAGCCCACAAGCGGTTAGTACCGACCAGCTCCAGCCCCGCGCCGTTTTTTTCCTGAGCTCCCCAGGTCATCCGATTACTGCGTTGACATGCTGCTGCATGTCCTCCGCTTCTTCTGGAGAGCGTACCTCACGAACTATAAGAACATGTTCGACGCGTCGTCGATCGGGACACGCCGCCCAGCCTTCGTCCCCACCTCACCTCCGCAGAAGGAGGCATCATGTCTCCGCGGGGGGAGAGACGAAGAGGAGGCAAGGAGAAGGAGGAGGAGGAGGAGGCAAGGCGGAGGAGGAGGAGACGAAGAGGAGGCAAGGAGGAGTCCAGCAGAAGGATAAAGGAAGGAGGCAAGGAGTAGGAGAGGAGGAGGAGGAGGAGGAGCAGGTGGAGGGCGATGATGGAGCCCAAGATTGTTCCGGAAAGAAAAGAAATGGAGTAAGACGAGGAGGAGAAGGAGGGACGACGAGAGGTTACAAAGGAAGCAGCTGCACCATTATGGCCTGGCCGTGACGGGCCCCTTCTCGACGAGGAGATGGGCGGACGTAAGTGTTTACTGCCACGGCATCGCAGAGCTTGAGAATCTGCGCCTTGCTTCAAGTCTAAGTTGCTCAGGCGCAGACTGGCGCCTGCAGGATACGGCAAATCTCGAGGACGAGGACGCGCAGGATGACGGCAACGATGACGACCAGAAGGACGAGGACACCAGCGCGCATGCGGATGGTGAAAAGCATATAGGGCCCGAGGGGGACCAGGCCAGAGGAAAGCCGGGAACGGTGACCAGGACGAGGGCGAAGAAGACGTAGGAGGACACGACTGGGCACGCGTGCGAGAGGGCAGGAGCAGCGCGCAGCGAGCGACGCGAGGGCCAGCACGCGGGGGCGAGCAGCGAGCGGCCGGCACCGGACAGCAGGCGGCGAGCAGCGAGAGTGGAGAGGGTGGGCAGCGACGAGCGAACAGTGAGGATGAGGATGGGGAAGGTGGAGGAGGAGGAGGAGGAGGAGGAGGAGGAGGAGGAGGAGGAGGGACAGCGACGAGCGAACAGGAGGAGGGCGGGTTGGGATGCGCAGCGGTGGTTGGCCTTCGGGGGGGGGGGCGGCCTTCGTCGCCGCGGCCAGAGGCGGCTCGGGACACTGGGCGCGTCTGGACCCCGGGGCCCTGTGGTGCCCATGTCGTTCGGGGGGGGCGCCCCGAGCTCTTCGGGCGTCGTGGGAGTCGGGGGCGCAGCTACCGCGCAACGGCATACGGTGCGGGCATTGAATAAGGAGCCACTGAATAAGAGATCCAGGGTCTGGAAACCAGCGGGGCTCCAATCGTCCAGTGGGTATCAGTGCCGCCCTCATGAGGTAGGGAATCCTCCAGGGTCTGCAGCCTCCCGGGCGCACTCCTGAACCGACGCCCACGCAGATGCGCGTCCCGGCGTGCGTTACAATCGGGGCCCTGAAGAAGGAACCCTTTCGGTTGGGGAGGGGCTCCGCGTTCCTTGAGTGTTTCACAGCTTGCCCCACGTTTTCCTTAGGTTTTCGGAGGGAAATCGAAGTTCCTTAGGCCTCGTTCCTTATTTTGGGGCCTCGTTCCTTATTTGGGGTTCCTTAGGTCAACGCCCCGACGGTGGGCAAGTCGTCAACGCTTCGCCCTGGTCGTCACCACGCGAGAGGGGCGCGTGGGGGCCTCCTCGGAATGGTTTCTCTCTGCCGGCCACTGTGGACGTGTATCCTCCGCAGGGGGCAGCGCTGGCGCGCCGCCGAGAGGACCCCCCGGCTTGCCAACTTTCCAGGAAGGATCAGGAGGGGAAAAAACACGCAGACACAATTCATCGTCGACCCCCAGGACAAGATGCGAGACTATGGGAAGTGGGGGGGGGAGGACAAAAGCCCAGAAGACATGGGAAAATATGGGGAGTCGTTTTATTTGTGTGCATTTATGTGTGTGTTCTGGGGCCCCTTTCAAATGAGCTGGCAGTTTGGGCCGGCGGCCTCTCCAGGGCCTCCCGCTTGCGCCCGAGGGCGGTGCGCGCCAGGGCTCCCGATACGATCCAGTGGCTCCCGCACGGGCACGGCGCGCAGTGCTCCGTTCGTGGCACGTGTTCGCCGATGGCAGGGTGGCTCGTGCAGCGGAGCGTGCTCGCCGCGGGAGAACTGTCCCGCCGCACCTGTCCGTATCGCATGCACCTGCACATGTGAGCATCCTGAGTCGATGCCGCTGCTGTCTTCGGAGGGCATCGGCAAGGCGCCTGATGCTCTATGATGCGCGCCAGGCATTCTCGAGCTTCCTTCCGAGTCCACCTCTTCCGTCATGTGTGCCCTCCTCGCTCCAGGGGCGATGATCTGTTTTGCTCCGCCACCTTGCGCGTACATCGTTGGGCTACGGACCAGACGAACGTGCCATGCGGATGCGTCCCCCTCATGTCCAGGCCTCAAGCTTGCACGCGCCTGGCGCGCTGAGCGCTGCTTGACTGCCCTCCCCAAGGAATAAAAGACGAGGTGCAGCTGCACGAGTGCGCTCTGCCGCGGGCGAGCGCCGGTGCCTTCTGGAGGGGGGATCGCCGGAGCAGGGACCTCTGCCAAGCCGCCGACGGGAGAAGCCTCCTGGAGGGTGCAGGAGCACTGCGTGTGCCGACGTGCGCTGCGGGGCGCTGCAGCCCTCCTGGGTCCGGCATCCGAGGACGGGGGCACTGAGCAGAAGCGTGCCTGGCGGGCCGAGGCCGGAAGATGCGACAGCGGGAGCTGGAGCGGGAGGACGACGAGGGCGACGACCACGATCACGACCACGACCACGATCACGATCACGACCACGACCACGACCACGACGACGACGACGACGACCACGACCACGACCACGACGACGACGACGACGACGACGACGACGACGACGACGACGACGACGGCGGCGGCCAGGGAGGAGGGGAGATCGAGGAGCAACAAAAGGCGGCACGAGCATACATGGTCGGAGCTCCGCGCGGATTTTTCCTGGATCTGAGCTGGCGTCCCCTCTGGCGGCGCCTCCAGCGCCGCTCCTGGTGCGCTCCACGCGCGGAGCCTGGCGCCGAACCAAGAAACCGGCGCGGATCTCCGAAAGCGTCTGGTCACGCCATCTGTTCCTCCAGAGGCCGGGGATTCAGGCTCGCCTATCGAGGCCAGAAGTTCTAGGATCGAGGCTGGGTCCTGGGTCCTCGATGGATTCTCGATCGATGCTCGATCCTGCTGGCATGGGCGCGGGTGGGCGAAGGGGATAGGGGGGTTGGCAGTGGACGCCACGTTGGGTTACATCTGGCCTAACCTAGCTTGCAAGTGGGCTGAAAATGCCGCGAGTGGTTTAGGGGGGTTAGCGACCTGAGCCAAGTGGGCTCCGCAGACTTAGCGGAGTTACCTAGCCCTCCTAAGCAATTTTGGGTACATATGTGTAGCCCATTGATAGGTTAGGCCACAGCGTGTTTATCCCTCCTCCTCCTCATCCTCCTCTCCATCCTCCTCCTCCTCCCTCTGTTTCCTCCGCCTTGTGGTATTTCCCTCGCTCGTCACGCGCTCAGCCGGTGCACGTGGTAGCGCGGCCTTGTTGTGGAGATCGCAGTGTTCACGCTCCGTGGTGTCAATCGTCGCCTGGGGGGGAGCAAAAAGCTTGGTACGAAGGCCAGGTATAACCAACCTTGGCATCCATTGATTTACCCCCCTGCCCCCTTGGCAACCTCCGCACCCATCCCAGTGCGTGGGGGTGGCGCGGCGCCACCCGGCAGGCTGCTGCTGGTCCTGCTGGCCATCAGCATGGACTCTCTCAGGCCCCAAGCGCAGTATCGCGTAGTCTATCGGGCCATGGTACCTTTCGAAGAAAAACAGCATAAACATGAACTTTCGAGGATCCGCACGGATTTCTTGGATCGGCGCTTGACCCCCTGGCGGCGCCTCCGACGCCGCCCCAGGCGCACTCCGCGCGCCAGGAAGAGGGGGGTCGGCGCAGATCCTAGAAATCTGCGCGGACCTCCAAAAGTTTACGTTTATGCCGCTTTTGTCCTTCCAATATCAGCCTCACCATCACACCGCCCCAGTTGGGGATAGACACCTCGAAGCCCGAAGGGAGCAGCCTGTATTCCCATCTAGGGGGGTAAATCGGCCAGCGGGGCCCAGGCCACGCCAGCGGGGATAGGGATCGGTTAAACCACGCTCACTAGCCTCTGGCCCCGCGGCCGCGCGGCGCGGCCAGCTCCCGAGGGCTTATCCACACATCCCTCTCCTCCCTCTCGTGCTCGTCCTCCTCTTCATCATCATCCTCCTTCTCCTCCTCATCCTCCTTGCCCTCCCTCGTGTAATTTCCTCCCTCTCGCCCTCCCCCCCCCCTCCCGTTTCCATTATCCTCCTCCTCCTTCTCCTCCTTCTCCTCCTCCTCCGCTTCCCTGCCCGGCCACGTACTACGGGCCTAGACCCATTCAGAACTCCTCTGCGGTACGATCGCCGTTCCTCCTTATCGCCTTTCCTCCTTCTCTCTTCCCCTCCCTCCCTCCCCTACTCATCATCCGACTGTCGTTCTGGATCAGGCCAACGCTTTGCGCAGTACGCCTCCCCTGCGGCCAGCCCGAGAGCACGCCTGCGCTCTCTCTCTCTCTCTCTCTCTCTCTCGCGGGCCCGTGGGGCACGATGCGCGCGCTCGCCGCTCTCATTCGCAGAACTTCCACAAAGGGTTTCGTGGAACGAGTGACGCGAGTACCGTCAGAAGCCTTCGCAGGGCGCGTGCCCGAGGCAGCGCAGGAGTTCGTACACGGGCAGGGTCGGCAGGGCCAGAAGCGCGCTGGAGGTGCAAGTTAAGGCTACAGCTGTGGTATCGGGTCATCCCTTTCGTGCACTCGCAGACCTGAAGGGCTGACGGCAACAGGCAAGGTTAAACGATGACACCGATACCATCAACCACACTCGCGAGGAGGAAAGTCGTTGTGACCAATCGCCTGTTCATCGTGCTCACCAACCTGTCACGGTCAAGAGTGGATGGATGTGTCTTGTTCAGGCTCCTACGTTGCAAGCACGGGCTACGATGATGAGGGCATCCTGTGAGATGGCCTTGAAGATCATGCAGTTCAGTCCTCTCGAGCGCCTTCATCCTATGGATTCAGGTTACTCTGACGGGTCTACATCACAGTTCAATGTGGTCCATTCACCCTCTTCTTCTTCTGCTCACCAACCTGGTGACCGCCATCGATTGATACCCCGAAGACATCGAACAACAAGTCACACATCGTGACCTGATTCTCCACCGTGCGGGCGCCAGTAGTACTACGGCCACCAAGATTGGCTTGGCATTCGCTCGAGGTGAGGCGGGCCGACCCGAACCCCAGCTTGAAAAGGGTGGTACTGTTGATGGGAGTTGGTGTTGCCATGCCGCCCATTTGGCTCGAACACGTTTTCTCGCGCTGCCTCTCAGACACGTTGAACACGATTGCGTGGCCAAGCGACACCCATCTCTTGCCGCACTGGCAATCGACCACCTGCTGCGCCTGGGCCACTCCCCCTCCACTGTTTGGATCCGATGCTCGGCTTGGCCTCCTTTGTTGACCGCGTCCCTGTGGACGGCTGGGGCCCGATGGCCGTGATCTCTCGCAGCACATCGAAGATGAACGGTCGCAGCGTCCAGCCTGTGAAGCAGTGATGTGGCGAGCGCTTCACTTGCGGTGCCCCTTCCGGACTGCCGGCACTGGCCCACGAGACTCAGTGTTCGAGGAGGGCCACTGGAGACATCGGCAGTCCTCCCTGGCGCTTTTTCTTGTTTTTGGGGGCCTCATGGACTCGCCGAGCACGTTCCACTACTCGCAAAGTGCCTACTCGCAAACGTCCGAAATGTACAGGTCTTCCTCTATGTAATATATCGTTAATCCCCCGCGGTGGATCCAGGCAATTTGCGAGTAGTTGATCTGCGAGCAGTGGAACGCGCCTGTCCATGGACGCTTCTCGTCGCCACGGCTGATCCTGGAACTTGGGAAGGGCCCGTGGACAAAGTGCCCGTGGAGTTGGACCGGGCGGGCGAGCCGCCGCTGTCTCAAAGGCCCCTCCTCCGAGAGATCCCACGCGACAACAGGTGCACGGAATAGGGCACGGGCCCGCCAGCAGGTGCCCCACGGACGCTTCTTGCCCCGAGATCACCACGGGGGCCCACGAAGGTTCTGGGGCACCTTGGCACCCTCAAGGATCGACGAAGGTCCAAGCACTTCTTATAGCAGGATCTCTCATCGTATCTTTGTTGCCTCGACACGCCCGTTTTGAAACGCGACGCGCCCCGTGTTCGAGACGTCCGTGCCAAGTTGCGTCGCGTGTTGGCTCAACGTGTTGGCCCACGCCTTGGCGAACGTATCGCGCGGCAGCTCTGCGCTGTTTCAGTCCACGTGTTCAGCTTCGTATCGCTGCGCTACGTGCTGCGCGTCGCGCATCGGGGCGGCTAAGTGCCGTAGGCGCCCGCTGCGTGCGTTTGGGGCCTTGCTCCACCGCGTCCCCTCGCAAGAAAGGCTGCGCGGCCGGGGGGCCCGTGACCGCCAGGATTCCGCGCTCTCTGGTTCGGCCAGGACTCGCGGCGAGACCCGGAGGCTCCTCCGCAGGCGGTTGGCGTGATGGTCGAGGGCTGGTCGTCCAGTGTTCCGCGCGACGCAGGCCCCCGACCTCCCGACCACTTCCACGGCGCCGACATCGCAGAGCTGATCTTGTTCGGAGAACAAAAGAATGGGCCCGGAATGTCCTGGAGAATGTCGTCCCGGATTTCGAAGCGAAGTTCGTGCTGATTTGTTGGGGGCCAGGAATGAAGACCAAAACAAGTCCACGCGAAAAAAAAAAGTTTTTCACTCGCCAGGGGGTTTTGCATTGACAGATGTCCACGCAAAAATCCGCTGCAGCACGTCTGCAAGGTCGGTGCAGTGACACTTTCCCAGGGTTTGGTTTTCATCCCGAGTCTTTTTTTTACAGTCCAGGGAGGCCTGGTGTGGGCCCCACGAGGCCGAAAACGGTGCAAGGCCTCCGTCTTCATTTGAAGTTTTCATCCCGAGCCGTTTTTTGACAGTCCTAAGAGCCTGGTGGGGGCCCCGAAGGGCCGAAAACGGTGCAAGGTCCCCGTGTCTTCGATGGTTGGTTCGCATCCCGAGCCGTTTTTCGACAGTCCTGAGAGGCCTGGTAGGGGGCCCCGAAGGGCCGAAAACGGTGCAAGGCCCCCGTGTCTTCGATTTTCGGTTCTCATCCCGAGCCGTTTTTTGACAGTCCTGCGAGGCCTGGTGGGGGCCCCGAAGGGCCGGAATCGGTGCAAGGCCTCCGTGTCTTCGATTTGTTGGTTCTCATCCCGAGCCGTTTTTTGACAGTCGTAAGAGGCCTGGTGGGGGCCCCGAAGGGCCGAAAACTGTGCAAGGCCTCTGTGTCTTCGATGTGTTCGAGGCGCCGGATGCCCGGGGGAGCCTTCGGCACCGGCAGGGCCCAGAGGCTCTCCGAGGGTTCGGACGGTCGGGGACAGGGCCCGGCTAAGCCTTCCAAGGGCCTTCTGCTCTCGCCGAGCGCGTTCCACTACCCGCAAAGTGCCTACTCGCAAATGGTGGAAAAACTCACGTTCGCCTCGATGTGATCTGTCGTAAATCACCCACGGCGGATCCAGGCCATTTGAGAGTACAGTCGGGGCCCTGAAGAAGGAACCCTTTTGGTTGGGGAGGGGCTCCGCGTTCCTTAAGTGTTGCACAGCTTGCCTCAGGCTCTCCTTATGTTTTCGACAGGAAATCGAAGGTTAACTTATGGAAAAAAGGGGCCTCGCTCCTTATTTAGGTTTCCTTTGGTCAACGCCCCGACTGTAGTGACTTTGCGTGTAGTGGAACGCGCTTGCCTATGCTCGGAGAATGGTGGTGTGATGTTTTTGTTGTCGCCAGGACCGCGCAGTTTGCACCCGCCTCCTCCCGCTGCGAAAGAGTCGCGAGGGGAGGGTTTGGGCAGTTCTCGACCTCTGGGAGGGCCTCGCCGGGCCCCGGGACCGTCAAGCAGCGACTCAGGATGAAAATCGGGCCCCGAGGAAGGGGTCCAGATCTCCGGGGGCCCATGGTGTGAGCGAATCGCGACGTCGAAGATCTGGCTATGTGGAGGCTCGTTTTAGGCTGCTTCCGTCGCAAGGGCCACGCGAGCTGTTCTGCCACATGTGATATCACCTAGGCGAGCCGCGCCCAGTCTAGAATGGCGTCGCGTCTGCACCTATCACAAGCTGGCAGGGGAGGGGGCTCCTGAATGGCGACGATACTTGAGCGTATTGTTGCGTCACGGTTGGCGTTCGGTCCTCTCCCATCCGCGCGCAGGACAGTCGGTACAACGATGTGTCGCACGAGACGTCGTCGCGTTTAGTTGACAGCCTATACCCAAGATCACATCACATCTTCAGAACAATGCTCATTCCGAACATGTGCATCTGTTCATTCCGAGAATACGAGCGTCCCAGATTCAGAGTTGAATCACACCCGGCCTGATGCGTGGGCATCGTCCACCCGCTTGTCGGGTTGCCGCCTGCATCTCACCTGCCAGGCGCCACCCGGCGAAGAGACGAAGCGTTTCTTGCCCCATCGCCGCAGAGCAGCCGGCCTTCGATCCCGAAGAGCGTTGAGGCACACGGCCTCTGTCCGATAGAGAAGCTTGCTTGGCGAAGCATCTTGGGCTAGGTGATGGGATGTCTCCGGATAAGGGGCCGTCTAGCAGCCCCATGGCTTGCGAGCACGAGATGGTGCATGGAGCATCTTACCCGCGCGGTGCGCATGGCGGCGCATGGCCCCGCTCACGATGTTGCAGCGTGTTCGGCACGCGGGGAGTCGGCCGCCGAGAAGATGCTCCATTGCTGCAAGCACGGCCGCCGGCGTGAGATTCCTCGACTGGCTGTCGAAGAGCGGGGGGCCTCTATTGCGACCCACCGCTTTCACAACCGATCCCGCTGTGGCTTCCTGATCCGAGCTGGCCTCGATAGGTCCCGGCCAATGGTTTGGCCGCCGTGGATTCGTTGAGATCCCAGCGCGCTTGGAAGAAGCCGACACGCGCCCACAAGAATGCATGTCGGCATTTTCTTTTGCACCTCCATTGGTTATCGTTTGCATGGCGCGGGGTTCGTCGCGGGGCGCCCTCGTCAAAGGCCACTCGCCGTGGGAACTGATTATTCCGACAGCGCAAAGGGGTCTGTTGCGCCATCCCAGGCGCATGGGCACTCCTGCGACCCACTCTGAGGCCCAACTCTGCAAGCACGTCTGACGCTGGACTACAGTCATCCCGCATATCTAGGATGGGCAACCTTCCCAAGGGTACCCTTGCATCCTTACCTCCTCGGTCCATCCTTCGCCGCTTTCGCTGGCCGCACCCCGCTCGAAAAGCTTCGAAATGGGCGTCCAAGGCCCTTGCATCCTTATCGTGCATCCTTACCATACTCGTTGATTGTAGTTACCGCCATAGATGAGTTGCGCGTCGCTGCTGTTCAAGCCACCCAGAATCTTTCCCAAGAGGACCGCAGGCCCCCGAGAATGCCACCTCCAGCCGCGCAGGCGCCGCGGCGCGCGCCACCCTGTCGCCTCGTCGAGCCCTCCTCACCGCTTGGAGGAGGCTCTCAGGCAAGTCGAGACGTTGTCGTCGGCTCTGCATCCGCATGGCCCCATCCTCCTCCTCCTCCTCCTCCTCCTCCTCCTCCTCCTCCTCCTCCTCCTCCTCCTGCTCTTCCTCCTCCTCCTCCTCCTCGCAGCCAGGGCCCCACATCCGCACATGAATCGCGAGGCGCGCGGTGCAAGCGAAGCCTGGCTGAGTCGAGTCACAGATTACACCACAGAGCTGACACCACATAACTTGCACACCGTAACCTACATAATCATAGCTCAACACAGCTGACTCGAGATAGTTTACGCGACATGGTGTGCACAGCAAAACTTGCACAACCAGGCCCGCACCGCAAAGCTCACACAGCATGGCATACGCATCACACGTGCCACCTCCAAAGTGCAATAACCCACGATGTGGAGTCCACGCCATTTTAATATTATAAATGCACGTGTGTGTGTGTCATCATGTTGGTCTGTCTCACGCTGTCTCCTTCTCTGTGTGTCGCTCTCTCTCTCTCTCGCCATAGTTGTTCGTTGTTTTTCTCTCTCTGTCCCTCTCCCTCTCTCTCTCTCCACATGTATACACATGTGGGAGCGCTTCTGGTCTGATTGGGAATTTGGATTGTGACAATGGCTGCAGCGGCAGACGATGCAGCACACGCCGCGCTCGCACCGCCCGCAACCTGGCCGGGCTGCACCCCGACAGGCTGGACACGTGGCCATCGGTGCTCGCGCTGGTGTCGGCCGCCAGATGGTTCCAGTTCATGTACACCCTGAGGGCCTTCAAGATGTGGGGGTACAGGCCGCCGCGGCTGCGAGAAAAGGCGGAGGAGGAGGAGGAGGAGGAGTAGGAGGAGGAGGGCTGAGGAGGAGGAGGAGGAGGAGGAGGAGGAGGGCTGAGGAGGAGGAGGAGGAGGAGGGAGGAGGAGGAGGAGGAGGGGCTGAGGAGGAGGAGGAGGAGGAGGGAGGAGGAGGAGAGGGAGGAGGAGGAGGAGGAGGAGGAGGAGGAGAGGAGGAGGAGGAGGAGGAGGAGGAGGAGGAGGAGGAGGAGGAGGAGGAGGAGGAGGAGGAGAGGAGAGGAGGAGGAGGAGGAGGAGGAGGAGAGGCAGAAGCCACACCGACCCCGGATCTCCCAGGATGTGACTTCTTCGGCCAGCGCCTTCTCCTCGATTCCGCGGGCCTCTGTGGCCCGCTCACGGGCCCCCCGGGGCCATCAGGAGTGGACCCTGGGCTATCAGAAGAAGAAGGCCGAGGAGGAGGGGGAGGAGAAGAGGCCGAGGAGGAGGAGGAGGAGGAGGAGGAGGAGGAGGAGGAGGAGGAGGGGGAGGGGGAGGAGGAGGAGGAGGAGGAGGAGGGGAGGAGGAGGAGGAGGAGGAGGAGGAGGGGAGGGAGGAGGAGGAGGAGGAGGAGGAGGAGGAGGAGGAGGAGAGGAGGAGGAGGAGGAGGAGGAGGAGGAGGAGGAGGAGGAGGAGGAGGAGGAGGAGGAGGGGAGAGGAGGAGGAGGAGGAGGAGGAGAGGAGGAGGAGGAGGAGGGGAGGAGGAGGAGGAGGAGGAGGAGGAGGAGGAGGAGGAGGAGGAGGAGGAGGAGGAGGAGGAGGAGGAGGAGGAGGAGGAGGAGGAGGAGGAGGAGGAGGAGGAGAAGAAGGCCGAGGAGGAGGAGGGGGAGGAGAAGAAGGCCGAGGAGGCAGAGGAGGAGGAGGAGGAGGAGGAGGAGGAGGAGGAGAAGGCCGAGGAGGCAGAGGAGGGCGAGGTTCGTCTCAGTATGCTTCGTGTCAGTCCCGTTCGGGCAGTCTCGACAAAGCGCCAGAGGTTCAACGGCAGCCAAGGGAGCGCGAATTATCCTGGCGAAGGACCCATCCATACGCAGTTGTGAGTACCGCCGTTGTGAAAAAAACGCCTTCGGTGGAGCTCCCTACGGGGCCACGAAACGCACGAAGGGAACGCCGAAATGGGGCGGGGCCGCCATGCGGGCGCTGCCGCTGGGGCCGCCGGCAGGGGGCGAGGAGGTCAGACGAAGCGGGTTGCATGCTGACGTAGCCCGTTGCGGCTGGCGGGCACCCGGAGAAGCGGGAGAAGACATGCGGGCGCGGCATGCGAACGCAGCCATTGGTGCCTTAGGTGAAGCTCCGTATGGGACCACGAAACGTGTAAGGGTGCGCCAAAGTGAGGGGCGTGGCGGCATGTGAACCCAGCCATTGGCGCATTCGGTGGAGTTCCCTATGGGTCCACGCAACGTGTAAGGGGTGTACCAAAGTGAGGGGGGTGACAACATGCGAACGCAGCCACTGGGGCCTCAAGTGCAGCTCCCTATGGGCCCACGAAACGTGCAAGGGCGTGCCACAGTGAGGGGGGTGGCTGCGTGCGAAGGCAGACACTGGCGCCTTCGGTGTAGCTCCCTCTGGGTCCACGAAACGTGTGAGGGGTGTACCAAAGTGAGGGACTTGGCGGCATGCGAAAAAACGCAGCCACTGGCGCCTTCGGTGGAGCGACCTATGGGTCCACGAAGCGTGTGAGGGGTGTGCCAAAGCGAGGGGAGTGGCAACAGTGCGAACGCAGCCACTGGGGCCGTCAGAGGAGCTCCCTTTGGGGCGGCCACGAAACGTTTGAGGGGTGTGCCAAAGTGAGGGAGGTGAGGAGAGGAGGAGGACGCGTGACAGCGCCTCTTCAAAACGAGGACCCAACACCACAGGACTGTTGGGAAACAACAGTTCAGACGAGGTTTCGCTAAGTGGTCCACAATTTTTTCCCTGGAGTGGCGTGGGATGAAGAACGCTGCAATGCCAGAGAAGCCCAGCTCGAGGGATAAGAAGCAAGAGGAGAGGCTTAAGCAGGAGCATGGGAACGAGGATGAAAAGGAGGCGAGGTAGCAAGAAGAAGAGTGTATGATAGGAGGCTTGGGAATAATTGCAACAGCAGTGGGGAAAATGCGTGCCAGCGTGACCCCAAACAGTAAGCTATTGCAGTAGATGCGACAGGCATGCGGGGAAAACATGCATATGTGGCATAAGTTATGGTGTGCGAGATGTGAGGTGCAAGCCAGGTGATGTAAGTTATGTGGTGCAAGCATGTCCTGACAACTTATTAGTTGTCAACCCCTGAGCTCGCGCAAGCATCCCACCTTCCCACCCGCAGCTTGGATACTAAATGACTCCGACGGTAGGACCCCGCATGATAATATAGTTCGCTTGCCCCTCGCCCTTGTCCTTTTCGACTGGCGCAGGCCCTCCTCCCGCTTCTGCGTCCTCATCATCGTCATTCTCGCCCTACCCGCTCCATTTCTTATCCTCCTCCTTTTCCTCCTCCTCCTCCTCCTCGTCCTCCTCCTCCTCCTCCTCCTCCTCCTCCTCCTCCCTCTCCTCATATTCCCCCTCCTCCTCCTCGGTTTGTTCCTCCTCCGTTCCTCCTCCTCCTCCTCCTCCTCCTCCTCCTCCTCCTCCTCCATCCTCCTCCTCCTCCCTCCTCCTCCTCCTCCTCCTCCTCCTCCTCCTCCTCCTCCTCCTCCTCCTCCTCTATATTCTCCTTCTTCTTTTCCGCCCTCCTCATCTCCATCCCCCCTTCTCTCCTCATGCACCTCTCCTTCCTCCTGGCAGGGGCGCGCATGACGCGCATGTCGATGTTCCACCTCCTCTTTCCCCTCCTCCTCCCTCCTCCACCAGGTCCTCACACTCCTCCTCCGCCCCTCACTCGAACCTTCTGCCCATTGGCGCCTCTGCACAGCTCCAGGCCAGCGCCAAAGAGACCCCCGAAACGAGCCCCTCGCCATGCAAGTCTGCGCCGCCACGCGCGACTCTCTCGCAGACGAGGCCCCCGCTCGAGACTTCCTCCATGCTCAAGCCTGAGAAGCTCAAGAATGACGACAGGTGCAAGGATCCCGATGACCCGCTCGGATTACCAGCATGACGCGCGGGACCTGTAGGGAGGGGGCTCCCGCTCGAGACTTCATCCATGTACAGGCCACAGGAGCCCTAACGTGACGATAGTTACAGGATTCCGCTGACTCGCCTCGGGTTCGAACATGAAGTGCGGGCTTTATATTTAGGAAATAAGTTCCCGCTTGAGGCGCCCTCGCGATTCACTCACAGGGGAGGCTCCCGCCTGAGACTTCCTCAATAGTCAGGCCTGAGGAGCCCAAAAGTGACGACGGTTACAGTATGTGGATGACCCGCCCGGGTTCGAGCATGAAGTACGGGCCTCATAGGGAGGGGGCTCGCGCCTGAGACCTCCTCACGATTCACTCACAGACGAGGTTCCCGTCTGAGATTTCCGCAAGATTCAGGCCTGAGGAGCCCAACAGTGACGACAGTTTCAGGATTTTGATGACCCGCTCGAGTTCGAACATGAAGTGCGGGCCTCAGAGGGAGGGGGCGTTTGGAGGCGCGGAATGTGCGAGGTGTGTGACAGTGTGCTAACATGGGTGCGGTGGGTGCATGCGAACGCAGCCATTGGGGCTGTCGGTGGAGCCCCCTTATGGGGCCACGAAACGTGTGAGGGTGTACCAAAATGTGCGGCGGGCGGATGCGAACGCGGCCAGTGGTGCCGTCGGTGGAGTTCCCTGTAGGGACACGAAACGTGCGAGTTCTGTGCCAAAATGGGTGTGGTGGGCACATGCGAAGGCAAGCGCATGCGAACGCAGCCGCTGGAGCCACGAGTTGTGTCAAAGGTGTACCGGAATGGGTGCGGTGGACGCATGCGAACGCCGGCATTTTGGCATTCGGTGGAGTTCCGTATGGTGCCACCAAACGTGAAAGGGATGTGCCAAAATGGGCGCGGTGGGCACATGCGAACGCAGCCAGTGGGGCCGTTGGTGGAGCTCCCTATGGGGCCACGAAGCGTGTGAGAGGTGTGTCAAACTGGGTGCGGTGGGCGCTTGCGAACGCAGCCACTGGGGCCATCGGTGGAGCGCCTTATGGGGCCGCGAAACATTTGAGGGTGTGCCAGCATTGGCGCGGTAGGCGCATGCGCACGCAGCAATTGGGGCCGTCGGTGGAGCCCAATTTATGGGGCCAAGGAACGTGTGAGGCGTGTGCCAGCATGGGTGCGGCCAGTGCATGTGCACGCAACCACTTGGGCCGTCGGTGGAGCCCCTCTATGGGGCCACGGAACGTACGGGGGGTGTGCAAAAGTGCGTGCGGTGGGCGCATGCGCACGCAGCTTTTGGGGCCATCGGTGGAGTTACCTAGGGGGCCACGAAACGTGCGAGGGGCTTGCCAAGATGGGCGCGGTGGGCGTATGCGAACGCAGCCACTGGGGTCGTCGGTGGAGCTCCCTATGGGGTTACGAAATGTCTGAGAGGGGTACCAAAATGTGTGCGGTGGGCGCATGCGAACGCGGCCATTGGGGCCGTCGGTGGAGTTGCCTATGGGGCCACGAAACGTGTGACGGGTGTGCCGAAACACAGGCATGCGGATGGCAGGGGCAAGGATGGAGGGAAGAAGGAAGGAGAGGAGAAAGGAGGGCTGGAGGTGAGGTGACGCGGGGCGCTGTCTCTTCAAAACCAGGACCCAACACCACAGGACGGTTGGGAAACAATATCAGTAATAGCTGTGCGTTCACCGGTTTTCCTCACCAGAACCATCAGAAAATCAGGAACGGTTGTGTCGCCACGGTTTTCCTTACCAGAGCCATCGAGGAGATCAGGAATATCTGTGTTGCTTGAAGTTTTCCTGCCTGGCGCGTTGTCCTTGGGGGGGCGCTGAGGAGGAGAAGGAGCAGGATGAGGAGGGGCGCACTTCCTACACATATATATATATATATGTATATATATGTGTGTGTATGAAAACATAAAGGGAGAAAAAGAAAAACAAGTCTGTGTTTGCAGGGGGGGGTCCTCACAAATACCTCAAATAATGTCCGGAATATCTGTGCTGGTATACGGTTCCGTACCAAAGCCATATGAGAAATATCAGGACTATCTGTGTTTTCGTTGGGTTCCTCTATACAGCCAGGTCGCTGAAATGTGGAATAGTGGGCTCAGAAGGGACTCGACGTTCCTTATGGCCTTCCATGGCTGTTCCTTCAGCACTCCGCTTGCACGCGGGCGCCCTTGGGGCCAAAAAGGGGCTTCGTTCCTTATATATCGTTCCTTCTTTCAGCAGCCCGACTGTAAAACAACCCCCCTTCTAAGGGTTGTCCTGAAGAAATCATATGGGTAAGGCCGCCACAAACAGAATGCATGTGCACCACCGCCTCAAAGCGAATCGCATGGTACGTCCGCTCCCGCGACAGGGGGCGATCATATATGTACATATGATGCAGGGGCGGCGCGAACCTGTATGATCATGTGGGGGACTACCATACACACATATATATATATATATATGCACACGTGTATATATACATGGTTGTCTATATGTATACATATATAGATATACGTGTCTATAAATGTGGTTATGCGTGTAATATACGTGAATATAAATGTGGTTATGCGTGTATATGGTGCGTGTGTAACGATACACGTGTACATAAATAAATATAGATATGTGTGTAGGCGAATGTATAGATATATGAACACATGTAGTTGTGTCTACTTGAACATGTGTATACACGCATAGAGTGTGTGGGTGTGTATGTTGCAAGTTATGCGGTGCAAAATACGCGGTGCGAGCTACGCGGCCGCCAAGCGCACGAGGCGCCCACGAGGCGCCCCCAAAGTGGGCACTACAGCGCACGGGGCGCCCACGACTGGGCACCAGCCGGGCCCCAGGCCCCACGACTGGGCACTTCGACGGACCGACCCAGCGCACGCGGGCGCACACAGGGCGCCCGCGACCGGGCACCAATGCGGCACCACGCGAGATGCCGACAGACCAACCCAGCGCCAGGGGGCGCCCATACAAGGAAGCGGAGCCAGATGAGGAGAAGAGGAGGAGGAGGAGGAGGAGGAAGAGAAAGCGCGATTGATACTCACTGCCACGCTGTTAAACACAACAATGATACCCGCGTCGCGCTGTCACAAGGAGGAAGAGGAGGAGAAGGAAAAGGAGAAGAAGTGACAGCCGCAGGTTGCTCCCGCTGATCCACTCCCTGGTCCCGCTGAGCGGCATCCTCTGCATCACGGTTTTTTTCTTCTTGGGTTGCTTGCAGGCGTTCTTGGTTCTGGACAGCGGGACGAGGACGGGGACGAAAATGGCGGGGCACGAAGACAGGCTCGGGGACGACGATGGTAATGCTGGCAGAACGCACGCGATGAATCGCAGAAAATGCATCGGTCACGCGTGCCAGCGCACTGTCATTGGGGACGACAGGGCCAGCGGGAAGTCGGTGCGCCTCTGTGCCCCCGCTCGCGGACCGGTTCGCACGGTTTTCCGACGAGACCCCGTGTGGCAAAGCGTGCACGGAGCACGCATTACGGAGCTCTCACGGCGTAGCCCAAACGTTGTTGTTATTCTTGCCATTGCTGTTTTTTTCTGGTTTGGGTTGTTGCTCTTTCGTGTCCTTCTGCTGCTCCTTCTCTTCTGCATGTGATCATTGTCCCAAGCAGTGCTTCCACAGGGGGGTCCCAGCTGCGTACGAGAGGAGATGGTGTCCCCATGCCGAGGCTGGACTCAACGACCGCCATCCCAGCGCTGGGTCTTCATATTCACTATGCTCGATCGCCCGTCCCAGGAATTCGCACCATCCCGGTCAATCCACCTTATCGCCTCCTTATCGCCCCCCTTCTCCTCCCTCCTCCTCCTCCTCCTCCTCCTCCTCCTCATCCTCCTCATCCTCCTCATCCCCCCTCCTCCTCCCCCGTCCTCCTCCTCCTCCTCCTCCTCCTCCTCCTCCTCCCCCTCCTCCTCCTCCTCCTCCTCCTCCTCCTTCTCCTCCTCCTCCTCCTGCTCCGCGGGTCGCCTATGGCCCCGGGGGAAACCGTACACCTATTCCTCCTCACCCTTGCCGAATAATCCTCTGTGGAGCAGTCGTCTTAGTGTGACGAGTGTGTTTCGTCAAGAACCCATAGCAGACTAGACACGAGGCAGGCCCCACGCGCGCACCCAGACGGCACAATCAGTCTAGGGCCCCTGGTTCTCAAGTGGGTTCAATTCGAAAATCCCAAAACATGTTCAAAACATAGTTTTAAAACAGCTAAAAATATATGGTCCAGGGCTTGGGCCCCCCCCCCCCAATGCTGATGCCATTGGGCCCCCCCCCCCGCGCGATGGTCCCCCCCGCCCCCCCCCCCTGTGGGCGTGGCGTGGGCTGCGCTGCGGTTCCCCCTCCCCCCCCTGTGGATGTGGTGTGGTGCTGTGGTGGTTCAGAGGTGGGCGTGGCGTGGTGCTGCGCTGCGGTGCCCCCCCCCCCCCCCTGTGGATGTGGTGTGGTGCTGTGGTGGTTCAGAGGTGAGCGTGGCGTGGTGCTGCGCTGCGGTGCCCCCCCCCCCCTGTGGATGTGGTGTGGTGCTGTGGTGGTTCAGAGGTCGTCGTCCTCGTCCTCGTCCTCGTCCTCGTCCTCGTCGTCCTCGTCGTCCTCGTCGTCGTCGTCGTCGTCATCGTCGTTGTCGTCGTCGCCGTCGTCATCGTCGTCAGCGTCGTCGTCGCCGCCGCCGCCGCCGGCGTCGTCGCCGCCGCAGCCGTCGTTGTCGTCGTCGTGGTCGTCGTCGTCGTCGTCGCCGTCATCGTAGTTGTCGCCGTCGTCGTCGTCGTCGTCGTCGTCGTCGTCGTCGTCGTCGTCGTCGTCGTCGTCGTCGTCGTCGTCGTCGTCGTCGTCGTCGTCTCTGGGACCATACTTTCTGCGGGGGGGGGGCCCGAGGAATCCTGGGACCATACCATCTGGGGGGGGGGGGGGCGTGGGCCCTTGACCCTGGATCATATGTACAACATAGCTTTCAAAAAGGTCCCAAAAGGATGTTCAAAAAGTAGCTCCAAAAAACGTCCCTCGATAGGAGGAATGCTCAAACAAATAACTAAAAAATAGTCTGGGGCAGCACGCACGCACATGCCACAAGCAGCCAGCCGCCATCGAGCGCCGGCCAAGCCTCGCTGTGCAATCACGCCACGTGGACCACACGCGCGCGTCGCCGCGCGGCATGTCAGAGCCGCTGCGAGGCCACGGGCGTTCCAAGCATCTCGAGACGGAAGCGTTCCTCTTATGATATGGAGGCGCTCTCCTCCTCAATGCAGAGTGCCAGGCTCGCTGCGCACGCAGTCATTCAGCACCATCGTCAGCACCATCGTCATCATCATCGCCAGCGTCAGCGTTGCCATCGCCATCATCATCACCAACTTCTCCATCACCATCACCAACGTCGTCGTCATCATCACCACTATCGTCATTGTCATCGTCGTTGTCGTCGCCTTCGTCGCCATCGCCACCACCACTCACCGTCACCGTCGTCGCCGCGGTCGTCGTCACCATCACCACTCGCCCGCCGGACCCATGGATCTGCATGATGAGGGCCCTCGGGGCATTACTTCATGAAGGAAAAGCACACAGACACAATTGATCGTCGACTCCCCAGAAAATATGGGAAGATATGGGAAGTGGGGGGAAGACAAAAACCCAGAGAATATAGGAAACGATGGGGAATCCTATGATTTGTGTCTGTTTATCTGTGTGTCCCAGGGCCCCTTCAATCACGGTGGCTGGCTTTTTCGCCAGGACGATGCGGACGGGCGGGCGGGATGCCTGCTCGATCGCTGGAACCGGCGACTACTGCGCCACACAGTGGTGAGGAAAAGAGGAGGAGGAGGAGGAGGAGGAGGAGGAGGAGGAGGAGGTGAGACGACTCCCAGGAGGACAGTCCGAGGAGGGAGGAGCCAGCCCAGCGCCCGCGCGCCCCGTGCGCGGGCTTAGATGTGGAAGCGCAGCGGGTCGAAGAGCAGCGCGGGCACCGGAGGGGAGGAGGAAGAGGAGGAGGAGGAGGGAGGAGGAGGAGGAGGGAGGAGGAGGAGGAGGAGGAGGAGGAGGGAGGAGGAGGAGCAGAGGAGGGGAGGAGGAGGGAGGAGGAGGAGGAGGAGGAGGAGGAGGAGGAGGAGGAGAGAGGAGGAGGAGGAGGAGGAGGAGGAGGAGGAGGAGGAGGAGGAAGGCCGCGCGCGCGGCGCGCAGGCATTGCAGCAGCTGGTCCACACGCCCGCTCCGTGCGATATATGGGACGACGTTCGCGCGGCGATGCTCTCGCGTGGGTCCGGCGTGAGTTCGACGTGAATCCGACGCCTCCTCCTCCTCCTCCTCCTCCGACAAATTCGACGTGATCTGACGGGATCCCGACGTAAAGCCGACGTGGATGCGACGTAACGTGTGTCTCGAGTTGCCGCGCGAGGCCTCCGGCAATTTCCTCAGAAGCCTTGAGTGCTCCTCGAACCTACAAGAAACTGTTGTTTGGGGCCCACTAGGGCCCACGCCGCGACGGCGGTCCTCTTGTGAATCGTGTTCGGTATTGCGCGCATGCAGAACTAGTACATGATGCGAAGAGGTGTTCGCGATCGCATGGGACTGGGGCTGTGTCTGTGAGTTGCCCTCGCACACCCAATTCTCCACAATAGTGTGTTGCACTGAGGGGATGCCGTGGTTGTCCGCACGGGACCGTCTACAGGGTCCAACGAATTGAGCATGTTATGATTCTTGGGCTGACGCCGCACCGCCGACGCCTTGGGGGGCTCCTGGCAGGTCTCTCGAGAGACTCCTGGCGGCACTTTTGAAGCCTTTGGGGGGCATATTATGATTGTCGTAGCTATCTGGATCTCGTTCCTGCGAGTTAGTCATGTTCAGATCCTTGATATCCCGAGCCCCAACGCTGACCTTCGATGAGACAATCCCGCCCTCGGCAACCAGACGCGTTGTCGTTGCAGCCAACCTCCGCCAGGAGTTTCAGCGACATTTTCGTCGCAATGTTCCGCTTCCTCTTTCTGGGCGACTTGGACGACCAGGACTTGCGCTTGCCGCCACACCCAGGAGCAAGCAAAGAGGATCACAACCCACCTCAGGCAGAACCGGGCCCGAGTGCGGCGATTCATGTCTGGGGATGCAGGATGCAGGTTTGGGAGCCAAGCTTCGGGGCAGCGGGCCCAACACTGAGGGACTGTCGCCATTTTCCGCAGATCGCTTGCTTGCCCAAGGTCTGGGTTTCGAGGTTTGAAAAAGCCGAGCCCCAATGCCCCAGTCAGGACCCCCAGGCTATGTGTCGAGGCCAGCGAACGTGGACGTCGGTCCCATGGGCAGTAATCCTCACACCCCGAGGCCACTAGTTCGGCCCGCCGAACTCGAGCGTGGTGCCCAGGGGATGCTTTCATCCGTCCCGCTTGGGGCCGAGATTCCTGCAGGCCAGGGGCCTACCGCTGGGCGCTTCTCTCCAGCAGCGGGCAGCAGCGTCGTGTTGGAGGAGGGAACCTGAGGGGATCTAGGGGGGGGTCTAGAAAGGCGGGGCGGCGGGGGGAAGCTTGAGGGAGGGCTCAGAAAGAGGAAGGATGGCCGATGTTGATTGAGCTCGTGCTGCTGCACCAGGATGCTTGTGCTGTTCCTCATCCTCTTCCTCCTCCTCATCTTCATCATCATACCCTCAAGCGCACAGGAGGCAGCCGTGCACCTGCGCTCTGCTGCTGCTGCTGCTGCTGCTGCTGCTGCTGCTGCTGCTGCGTGCTGCTTGTCATGATGACCGCCCGCGGTTCAGATTGTCCGCAATTAGCGCTTGTTTCCGTGACCAGGTCCACGTGCGTCTCGACGATGTTGCAATGGTGTTGCCACGTATGATTCCTGAGCACCTCGGTGGCTTGGTCCAGCTCACCGCCTTGTCGTCCACAATTCCAGTGTCGCCACCACGGTCTGAACCACCGCACAGCTTGCACGCGGGGACTTGGGCGAGATCGGTCTGTCCAACTGCCGACGGCGATCCTCTCACTGAGTGCTCGTCAGATGGCGCTCTCGCCTCGACTTCGGAAGTGCGCCGAGGTCGACGTCGACATCATTACAGTTTCCATCTCAAAACATCGTCTGCGCTGTTTGCCGAATGTGGCATCATAGCCGAAGACCTCCTCCACAGGATGGGTGCGACCGGAAGGGCATCAAAGTGCGCACGGCAGAATCGATGGTTGGCCTCAGCCTCGAGCCCGGTTTGACGCAGTTCTTGTCGCTACTCGCGACGTCTAACTACCACGATGCCAGCGCTTCCTTCTGCTGGCAGGGTTCGTGTTGTTTCGTTAATCATGAGCCGCTGGCATCGAAAAAGAAAACACATACAGTCGGGGCCTTGAAGAAGGAACCCTTTTGGTTGGGGAGGTGCTCCGCGTTCCTTAAGTGTTTTGCAGCTTGCCTCAGGTTTCCCTTATGCTTTCGATAGGAAATCGAAGTTTAACTTATGGAAAAAAGGGGCCTCGTTCCTTATTTAGGGTTCCTTAGGTCAACGCCCCGACTGTACAAGCACAGATGTGATGCTCGGAGCTCCACGCGAGTTCATCGGGCCTGCATGGGGCCCCCCCGGCGGAGCCTCCTGCGTCGCCCGCGGCGCGCTCCTCACGCCATGGGGGGGGGGTCCAGCGCCGATCCACGAAGCCCGCACGGACATGCCGCCGTCCATGCTGTTCGCGTCACAAAGGGCTCTCCGTATTGGAGCGGCGGTCGTGGCCAACACGGGGGCACCTACAGTCGGGGCGCTGAAGAAGGAACCCTGTTCGTTTGGCAGGGGCTCCGTGTTCCTTAGCTGTTTTGCAGTTTGCCTTCGGTTTTCCTTTGGTTTTCGATGGGCAATGGGGCTTAACTTGTGGAGGAAAGGGGCCTCGTTCCCTATCTGGGGTTCCTTAGGTCAACGCCCCGACGGTCGTCCCGTCGGGTCACGGGGGCCAACACGGGGTCACGCAAGCCCCGTCGGGGCTCCCGAGAGCTCCCCCTGAGGGCTCCCGAGAGGGGTCACAAGGCATGCCTCCTCCTCCTCCTCCTCCTCCTCCTCCTCCTCCTCCTCGTCCTCCTCTTCCTCCTCCTCCTCCTCCTCCTCCTCCTCCTCCTCCTCCTCCTCCTCGTCCTTCTCCACCTCCTCGCGCTGTGGAAAAAAGGCGGCCCTTGAGATCCGACGCTCCAAAAAAATTGGAGCAGGCGGATTTTGGCCGTTCTCGGCCTACTCCAGGGGCCCTCGCCCGGCCTCGGGAGCGTTGATCGCCATGAGTTGGCAACGCTACAAAATGGACGCGGCCACGTGGACGATCTGCTCACCGACGGGGGCACCGTCAGGGACGCCAGCGGCGTCCGCCTGGAGGCGGTCAGCACGACTCCGCTGGAGGTGTTGCGGGCGCTCTCGACATGGCCTGGGCAGCGATGCGCTGCCGCTAATCTTTCAGCTCCACCAGCTCGCCGTCCTCCTCCAACGCTGGGATCCCCCCGGCCACCGCCGGCCACCTGGGGCGGCAGTCTTTTGGCTTTGCGGCGCCCTGGCCAGAGGAGGGTTGGTTCCTCTCGCCCGCTCACGCAGCTTGGCCTCGCCCGCTCGCACGACACGAGCACGAAACCGAAACCGATTTCCCGGTGGGGGGGTGTCCGTTTCACTGCGGTCTCATTTCTCTTCGTTCTCTGTGTTCTGCAATAAGCCATTGCACTGAAAGTGTCCTCGCTGAGATGTTGCAGATTATGTGGAAGTTTGCTGCCGATGCTAGTAGGCGGCAAGGTTCTCTTCCTGGGTTCCTGATGCTTGGATATTGCATGATTGGGTTCTTGGTGGCGACCAGTGTCTGGGAGTACAGACCGAAGGGGGAGCACCTTGCCGAGAGGAAAAAACGACCTGCAATCGTGCACAGTGCGAAGGGCTCATAGAGAATAGAGTAGAGAGCACAGAGCAGGGTGGCGATAGTATGAAGTAAGCAGTAGAGAGCAGAGGGTGGAGGGCAAAGGACGGATGTGTCGTGGGCAGATGTTGAGGAGATGGTGCAACGTAGAGAATAGACCGTCGGGAGGAGGGGTGCAGAGGGTAGCGGGTATTTAGTAGCAAGTACATGGTAGAGGATAGAAGGCGGAAAGGGGAAAGCATAGAGCAAAGAGGAGAGAGCAGAGCCAATGCTACAGAGAGAGTCGGGAAAACAGAGCAGACAGTGCCGCGGTCACAGTGCGCTGCACAGATCCACCACACGTTTGTTGCTTGTGCGTGATTCATGCGAACAAGGGATTGGGATTTGATCTGGTGTAATGTTGCATCGTTTCCTTCTCAGTCTAGCCTTCCTCGTTATCACCATGCGCCTTGTCCTTCTCATCCCCCTCCTCCTTCTCTTCCTGCCCTTCCCAGGCCGTCGTCGCCCTCATGATTATCCTCCCTGTCATTATCTTCCTCGTCGTTCTCCTCCCCGCCGCTCATGAGTTGTGAAGCTTCATGTGGCAGCCTCCTGTCGAGGACACGGCGCTGGAGATATTGAGAGCCTACGGTACTGGTTTCACGCTTGTGTTTTTCGCGATCTGCATATTCTTCAACATTTTCATCCTCAACCTGTTCATCACAACCACAGGCCTGCGCTGCAACTTCCGCCGGCCCTCGCATGATTGATGGGCTGACGAGCGGGGAACGAGGAGGGCATGGGAGGAAGAGACAGAGGAGGCGGGAGCGGAGGCGGGCGAGGACCGAGAACGAGGAGAGGAGGACGAGGAGGACGAGGAGGAGCAGGAGGAGGAGGAGGAGGAGGAGGAGGAGGAGAGGGAGGGGGAGGAGGATGAGGAGGAGCAGGAGGAGGAGGAGGAGGAGGAGGAGGAGGGGGAAGCTAGGCGAACGAGGACCGAGAAACACGAGAGGCGGGACCGAGGAAGGCCGCAGGAGTTCGGCGCCAGGGCGCCGTCGCGAGGAGCGGCCGCGAGCGCGTGGCAGTGGTGGCTCGCGTGCGGCGCGCGACGCTGACGGAGGCTGCAGTGGGCCGGCGAGGGGGAGGAGGGCAGAGCGAGTCCGAGGGATGACAGGGATGGGGAGGAGGGGGATGCAAGGGGCAGAAGGGAGATGATCCCCTCCCAGGTGAGGCCTGTGACAGGAGGGGGATGCAAGGAGGGCAGAGCGAGTCTGAGGGATGACAGGAATGGGGAGGATCGGAGAAGAAAAAACACCATAAACGTAAACTGTTGGCGCTCCGCGCGGATTTCCTGGATCCGCGCTGGCTCCCCCAGGCGGCGCCTCCGGCGCCGCCCCTGGCGCGCTCCGCGCGCCAGGGTGGGGGGTCCAGCGCAGATCCAAGAATTCCACGCGGAGCGCCAAAAGTTCATGTGTATGGCGTTTTGTTTCTTCGTCTAGAGGAGGGGAATGCAAGGGGCAGAAGGGAGATGATCCCCTCCCAGGTGAGGCCTATGACAAGGCCCAAGAGTTGTGCATGACCAGCTTCCAGCAG